CATCTGCCGACCCATCCTCTTGGGGATCTCCGACCTTCCCTAACGGGGAACGCACCCCTGAGTTCTGGCAAAGTTCAATAAGTTTTCTTGCCTTCCTTGTTGTATCAAAGCGCGGTTGATGCCGAAGTTGATGTTATTCTCAACTCTGCCCAGGTTGATCAAGCCCCTGTTGATTTTTCGAGGCTTCGCGCGATCGGGATCGGAACGAGGTGTTTCCCACTCTTATGCAACCGGTGAAGACTCGCCCTTGAAACGAAAGCGGAGAGATCGTTTCTTAGATTCTCGCATACCCAGGGGATGATGGGGGGTGATGGGGGGGAGAACCCGCGTCGAAGACGGACTCGAGGGACGACGCTGCATTCCGACCGGTTTCCCCCTAGCTAACTTGCCTGATGCACTTCGTCCGCAAGAGAATTCGAGCGAAACTGGAGATTCCTTCGCGGGAATGCGAAGGATCTCAGGCGTCCTATTTTCCTTCCGGCGAAAAACTCGACCCTTTCCGGTTCATCCACGTGTTTCGTGGCTAGAAAAACCGCTCCTGGCATGGAAAGAGTCTAGCTCCGAAGCGCGCTAGCCCTAGCCTTGCTCCACAAAGGGTGAGAATACGCTGGCCACTTCTGAGCGGGAACTTTGCTTTCGCCTCTCTAGCAAAGAATCTAAGAGCGTATGGGTCCCCTACTACCCGACGTTGTGGTTGCAGATCGTGTCTTGCATCCCGATGCGAAATGAAAGGGAGGAACGTGTGCAGGCGGCACGGTTCTCCCTTTGGCAGAGTGACCTTGAAAGATCCCCCTTTCCCCCTCCCTTTCCCCCCCCCCCTTTCCCCCTCTCGCCTCGATGCAGTCTTCTACGCTGTTCCGTTGGCACCGACTTTTCCGTTCAAAAAGGGCAATCTCATTCGAGTACAGAGTAAAAAAAAATACAGGGGGATTCTCCTGAGGCTGTGTCGTTTTCGTCACGTCGTTTTGGCATTTCTTGTTCTCCCTTTAAGCTACGATCGTCGGGCTACTCAACTCGATTCGGTAGTTCCAGGTTTTCGTCACTGTGCAACGCCAGAATCCAGAAAAAAAATTTTCCTCCCCTTCCGTATGACGACACGTAAATCTCCAGAAGCAGATCACCATTCCAATTCATCTCGGCACCGCATGCGAACCGTTCGACGGAATTTCCAGACGATCCCTCTCCCTCCGATCTCCGTCGTCTACCCCAGAATTTTCGAACCGGTCGATGAGGTAGGATGAGGAACGGAAGGAAAGACTGCCTCACTCCCGCCGCGAAACCGATAGAGAGGAAAACGAAAGCGAGGACGTTCCTAGATCCTCGGAGATCCTTCCACTGCCCTCTACGCCCTTCCACTGCCCTCCACGCCCTTCCACTGCCCTCCACTGCCCTCCACGCCCTTCCACGACCGCGTGGGTCATCCGTAATTCATCGCAGAAGTAAAACTTTGAGATTCGGCGAGCACTCAGGGTAGAGTAGGAAATATATACTCCCAATCGCCTCCGACAAAGGGAAGAAAGAAAATTCGGATAGTAAATACGCCCAGATTCATGCGAAATTTCACGCCTTATTTAAAAATCCAGTTTCCGTGGGATGAAGCGTTCGTCGGGACACATCCCGAATGCGACGGCGCTTGACGGGACAGGGACTACTGAGTCGAATGCCACTTCCGGCGCGGAAAGCCTTGATCGCAGGGTAAAAGGCAAGGGGTGGTTCCCCCAGGGCCTCGCGGCACGGAATTGTTGCCCTCGTCTCTTCCTCTCTCTCTCCCTCTCTCTCCATCCAGTCTTTCCACGATCTCCCTCTCTGTCGAAGTGAAAACCCTCTGATTTCATCGCCGACTCGTGAGTCCCGTTCTTTCGCTATCTCTCCAGATACCGATCACACTCGAGGATCCAAGGCCAAGCGATCTCTAACGTTCGATCTTCGACACCTGACCCCTGAAAAGAACCCACGCACTTCATGGTAAAGTCCTACGCAGAACGGCCCAGAATATGTTGAATCGTTTGGAATTTGGCACCCGTCCGATCACCGGCCCCTCTACCTCCGTCCACGTTTTCGTGCGAGCGATCCGGGCGTCGAAGCATTCCATGCAGCATCTCTTCGTTCCGTAGCGGTGCTTTTTAAAGAAAATACAGTTACCGGTAGTTTTGACCGGCTCCAGCGTACCTATATTATAAGATCTACTGTGTTCCGTGGCGTGTTTACAAAGCGACGATTCAGAGTTAACACCTGAATATTTGAACCGTCCTTTATCTTCACCCGGCAGGAGTATAAAAAAAAGCTACATTTGACTGAAGGCGCAATGGAGGCTCAATGGAGGCGTAATTTGCCATTGATTAATTGACCTCAATGTCACATCAATAAACTTCGGTTACCATATTTTTCCATGAGTACTCAGTGAATATCGATTGCCGTCCATTTCTCGAGTGCACGAGGATTTGCAATTTATTATCCACGTACCTTGATGAAAAGATTTTACGATTGGGTATTTATTTGGGTATGATCCGACTTCCATAACGATTGGGAAATCAATGGGGTAGGATGGAAGAATCGGTTACGCCAACTTGTTTGGAGACATCATCATGACGTCATAATTATGCTGTGCCTCTTTTACGCTTCATTACTCAAAGCCACGGCGCCTGAAGGTCAAGGTCGCGTCAAGAAGTGGAGTCCGAGGAGGGGGAGGATTCCCCATGACGTCATGAGAGTCTTGTTTTCTCCTCTCACTGCACTGGAGCCACGGACCACCGACATCCATTAACCACGAGTTAACCACGAGCTAACCACGGAGGGGAGCAGCGTGCATATCCCGAAACAAAATGTATGCGAGACCCGCAGGCACGGTCGCCTTTCAAGGACGGCCCCGGACGCGTGGAAGAGTGGAGCAGCCGATCAAATAAGAATAGAAAATATGCGTGGAAGGAAAAAGGGATTAATTATGACGATAATCTCAGCACCGATCTCTACCTCCATAGAAATGATATTTGAAGAACTAAGGAAAGTATTGAGAGAAGATGACGATGATCGTGACGTGAAGGTGAGCAATCCAAACACGAGTTGATGAGAAAACTCCACACGATATGAATCCATGCAGTCGGAACAGGAGTAGAGGGTAGAGAAAATTATTCTCGTTCGGCCTCCATCTTTCTGTGAAGAGAGACAGAACACGTGTTGAGAAGATTGAGAAACGAAGAACATCTCAAGATATTTCTAACGGCGGGTACCTCCGATTAAATATGCATATTGCATATTTAAATGCATATTGCATATTTAAATGCATATTGCATATTTAATTGCATATTGCATATTTAATTGCATATTGCATATTTAATTGCATATTGCATATTTAATTGCATATTGCATATTTAATTGCATATTGCATATTTAATTGTCATATTGAATATTGCATATTTAATTGCATATTGCATATTTAATTGCATATTGCATATTTAATTGCATATTGCATATTTAATTGCATATTGCATATTTAATTGCATATTGCATATTTAATTGCATATTTAATAAATATGCATGATTAAAAATTGCACGGAGTTTGAAATGGTATCACCACCGAACAATTTATTTTGCTCGAAGAAGACTCAAATGGCACTGGCCACGAGCGTCTCCACCTGGAAGATTTTGATGCATTAGATACATCTTCGGTTGCATTCGTGATGATTTTGCATCATTTGGATCTGAGGAATCTACCATGGCCATTTGTTGATTCCTTAGATTTTTTTTTTATCGATGAAGGACAAGTGGAAGAATGATTACATGGGGAACATTTTAAACTTTTTCCTCATTACTTTTCCTACATCTCCTCCCAATAGAGCTACAAATGAAAGGTATGGTAATTAGTTTCATCTTCCCAATTTTACCTTAGGGGAAATTTTTTGTTTTTTGCAATTTTTGCAAGGGACGTTTAACCTCCAGACCTCGGTCGCTTCACAATCTCGGTCCTTCAGTCTGAATAAATGTTTCTCGGATGTACACATTGCGGCACCCACACTCACGAAACACGATTCCCGCGATTGTAGAAAGTGATTCGGTTCCCGCAAAGAAACGGTTTCTTAAATTTCACGAAGCAGAGGAGAGTCACAACCACGTTCTCCCCAATTACCATCACATTTCCCAGCAAAAATTCTTCCCCGATTGATGCAATTCACATTCCATGCCGTCGCCAGTCGCTTGGGAAAATTGATAGATGATAGAGGTCCCGCAAAGAAGAGAAGGAGAAGTAGTCAAAACATTTTGCTCATCTACACAGTAATTACAATGATTAGAATATGTAATCCCAGAAAATTAATTCTCCTTCAACTACTTCCTAATGATTTTTCCCGAATTCTTCACAACTAAATCTCTTTCCACCACTTTCCAGGACTTCAAGCAAGATACTGTGCACAAAATATCTCTATTGGTTTCAGCAAAATCGCGTTAATTCATTTTGCGATAAGATTCTGCAAGACAGTTTCAAGAGCTGTTTTCGAAGTTTCGGCCGGAATGAAGCTTCCCCGCAAGAGCGTGAACAACAATGAAGTGTTCCGTTTGTTTGCAGAGGACAACATTTCCTTCCAGTTAAGTGCAAAAAAGATGCCGTCATTAGAATGCATGGGACGCTAATTACTGAGAAGTTTCAGCCAACACGAGCCATCAGATGCAGAGTCAAGTTTTCTGACATATTCTGGGAACGTAAAAAGACTTGGCTAAATATGACTAAATAATTAATGGGCGTTACCGCCAGTTATTAATTTTCGAGTTCCTCGTCCGAGGAAGGACGCAAATCTCTTCCTCGTGTGAATAGCAATGCCGCACAGTATTTTAGCACTAGAAAAAAATGAGCGATCGTTTTCACTTGTAACATGGTGTACTGGCTTTACATGTGAACGTAGAACCTATTACGTATTCCTTGAACTTTTTTTCCTGCTGCTTATTGGTGCATTGAACCAAAACATATTGAAGCTCAGAGCTGAGCCTTACATTTCATTTTTGATTCCAGGTCGATTTCCATGTCGATTCTCTGACGTCATACGTGATCCATCGAAAATGGAATTGGTGTTGAATGTCCTGCTCATCGCTGGCCTGCAGTTCGCAAATGGGCGTGAGTATCATTTCCCAATCAGCAATTGGAGTCGGGGGAGCCTGGAGGAAAATGCTTTGCAGACTAGTAGCGGCAACTATCCTGGAAATTCAATGCGACAATTCAACTACCAGAGCGATTCGATTCAGTGGATCGACCTCATCGCCGGCAGCCGTATGGACCACGGCGGTGTCCGTGGTCGAACAAAGCGCTCCGCATTTTGCAAAGCGACAAGCATTCTTGGCGACGCTGGGACTGTGTCTGGCCTTGGTGAGTGGCTGCAAGGCCAATGATTTTCATGCATTGTCCTTTGATGTTTATCAACACTTTCATGACGGAAGGTTCCGTTCCATCAACTTTCCAAACTATTAAAATCCATCGTATGCATGCCTGCGAGCTATCGCCAGCGTTGACTCATCAGGCCGGATCCTGCCAGCAAGATTAAGATGATGACAGCGTCATTTTATCAGTGTGAGCACAGTAAAAGTCTCCTTAGATCGATTTTTAAATCTCTGCATTAATTTGAGGAAAGTTCCTTTTTAAAAAAAATTCAGGCATAAAAAGGGTTAATGATTATCGCGCCCACAATTTCTCCAGTTTGGAAAATTCTGACTTGTGTATTGAAATATTTCGCGTCCACATGGAAATAATTATTATTAAGATTCTCGATTTTCCAGGTGCCACAATAGGGGGATTTGTTGGTCCCATTGGATCTGCTGTTGGAGGCGCGGTAGGACTAATCGGCGGGGCCATATTTGGAATAGTAAAATCCAGCCAGAACGAGGATGGCTGCGATGAGTCAAAAGTTATTCCAGACGCATTGAATGACGTCCAGACCAAGTTGGGAGACATTAGCGATAAAATTGATGACGTGGGAAGTAACGTCCAAATCGGCCGAGAGGAGAATAAAATCAACCATCGGATCACTCAAGATCTCGTGCAAGTCTCAAGGCAAGAAAATGATATTAACTTCCAAATCAACAGGGGCTTGATCAACCTGGGCAGAGTTGAGAATAACATCAACTTCGGCATCAACCGCGCTTTGATACAACAAGGAAGGCAAGAAAACTTATTGAACTTTGCCAGAACTCAGGGTCTTGTCAATCAAGGAAGGGTGGAGAACGAGATAAACTTTCAAAAGACCCAGGGATTGGTAAATCAGGGGAGAGTGGAAAATTTCATCAACTTCAATGAGACTCAGGGCTTGATTAACGAGGGAAGACATGAAAACCTGATGAATTTTGCCTTGACCCAAGGACTCATCGATCAAGGGAGAGAAGAAAACCAAGCTAACTTTGCCATTACAAGAAGTCTCATAAATCGGGGAAGGGAAGAGAACCAAATCAATTTCAAGGTAACCAAAGGACTAATCCATAAAGGAAGGAGAGAGAACCTGATCAACTTTGGCATCACACAAGACCTCATCACCCAGGGTCGATGGGAAAACTTGATGAATTTCAAAGTCATTGAGGGATCTGTTGCCGAACTAAGGGATGATACCCAAAAAGGTTTCTCCTTCCTGTCAAAACAGGCTAATAGAAATCTTGAAGCCATCACAATAGCTCGACTAGATGTGATGCAGAGGTTTAATAGCGCTTATAAACTTCTGGACAGAAACTTTAATGCAACAAATGCTGGTCGTGTAGAAAATTTGAGAAACTTCGAAATCACGAAAAACTTGATCAACCAAATCGGAGACACTGTGATTCGCAATCAAGCTCAAGCAATGGCTGAGCGTATGCTTTTCTATACATCAACTGTCAATCTCATCAGAGAATCCACCAATGAAACAATCAGTGCAATCGATGACGCCAAGCAAACCATTTTGAGAGCCATTGACAAAAGCAGGGTGGAGCCTATACTATCGAAGCTAACCACATTTTTAGAATATTTCAATGGTGAATTGGAGGGAATCAAATCATCCAACACGAAGCAAATTTTGGCAAAGCTTCAAGAACCAAATGGATTCCTGTTTTACCTTGCAGAGTCCAGGACACCACGGGGCGTCAACAGTCTTCACTCCCTCCTCTCAGACATCATTAATCAAGGTCTGGCTATTCCTAAGAACTCTGAGGACGAAATGGCTTTGATTGCTCTGGATGCTCTCTTCACTGGCACTCAAACCTATGTCTCAGTCCTTGCATTTCTCATGGAAGCCTACTCGTTCCTTGCTGATCATTATTACAAAGAGATGAATGTTGAACAATTTCATTATCATATAACATTGATCAATGTCAGATACAATGATTTCAAGAGGTCACTGAATAATGGCATAATTGATCAAGTCGCTGACATTCTTCTCCAAGTGCAAAGAACCGGATTTGTGGAAAGGGAGATGTTGTTTTCAACACGACGCAATAATCTTGAAGCATTGAGGAAGAGCATTGTTAACTTTGACACGACTTTGAAAACTCTTCAAACCGAACCAGCAACGATACAGAGAAAGCCCGAGTTTCCATCTTCAAAAGACAATGCGGTCTCCCATGGACCTTGGAAACAAGGAAGAACAGTGAGCTATGCAATCCAATATAAATTCAACAACATTTTATCCAAAATTGGTGAATTCACGAAAGGATTTCCTCTAGCGGAAGGTATGGCCAACCCTAAAATACATGTCCCGTCAGCTCCATCTGGAGTAACAAGTCGTTTGATTTTCCGAAAGTTTGACAAGGAAAAGCCAGAATATGTGGGAACCATTGCTGGCAACAAGCCGACTTACTTCCAAGACATCGACAAGGACCTATTCAATGCGGCTGGGAGTCTCAATGAGGATCTGAGTTTGCTTGAAGTAAAGAGTTTTTTAGATTCAAGAGCAAGTATTTCGGCCAAATTCGATGATGGTATGACTGCTCTGCACAAAGCATCTGCAACTGGAAATAGCCGAATCGTGGAAAAATTTATTGAAGCTGGAGCCGACTTAAATGCTTCAGATCTTCTTGGTCACAAACCAATTCATCATGCTGCAGAAACTGGGTATATCGAAACTATGAGAAAACTTTTTTCATTGGGTGCTGATGTGAACTCCAAGACCAGAGAAGATCTCACACCATTGCACATGGCAGCGCTTTATGGGAATGGAGAAGTTTTAGAATACCTTTTGACTTTAAAGGATATTGAAGCAAATGCTGTCACAAAGGACAATTTTATTGCCTTTCACTTGAGTGTTTTGGCTGGGCATTTTTCTGCGACCCGCATCTTGGCTGATTATGATGGTGTGAATGTCAATGCACCAGATGACAATTTTTTCACACCACTCCATCATGCTGTGGCTACGGAAAACAAAGAAATATTGAAATTATTACTCCAAAGTCCAAGAATAAACGTCAATGCAAAAGCTTCAGATGATTTAACCGCGCTCCATTTGGCTGTCGCATCAGGCAATAAAGAGATCGTGGACATGCTTTTGACTCAAAGTAACGTCAACATTTTGTCCCAGAGTGCTGGTGGATATACAGCATTGCACATGGCTGCAGCAAATGGACATTCTCAAGTTTTACAGTCACTCCTGAACAGATTGTCAACGGACTCAGAAAGTATCAATTCCTTATCTGCTGAAAAATGGACTCCACTTCACTTGGCGATATCCTTCAAGCATGTTCAAACCGTTACTCGGCTTCTCCTACACTCTAACATAGACATCGATGTCAAGGCAGAGGGCGGCTTGACACCTTTGCATTTAGCTGCTGGTACAGACCAGGCAAAAGTTGTCTCAAAACTGATGTTGTTGGAAGCCAATTTGGAAGAGCAATCGGATCTTGGTTTGAGAGCATTACATTATGCTGTCTGGTATGGTAGGAAGAATGCTGCATCCATTTTACTCAAAGAGGCTGATGTCAATGCCAAGGCACCATTTGGTCTCACTCCACTCCACTTAGCTGTCATTGGGAATCATGTCAACGTTGTTGAACAACTGACAGCAAGTGCAAATATACAAATTCACAGTGCTACCGAAAGTGGGTCCACTGCTCTGCATTTTGCTGCTGTTAGTGGGAACAATGCCATCGTTATGCACCTTTTGCAACATGGAGCTAAAGTGAATGCGAAGGACAAGTTTGGAATGACCGCATTTGATATGGCCATTGAGAACAAACAAAATTCGACATCCAATCTGCTGAAGTTACATGGAGGAAAATCCTCAATGTGCTTACAAATTGGTAACAGCAACGAGAAAAATGAGGAAGGTTTTACATTGCTTCAAGTTGCTGCACAGAAAGGCGACCTTAGCAGAGTTCTTGAGCTGCTATCGTGTGGTGTTGATGTAGGTGCATTCAGTAATAATGGCAGCAATGCATTGCATGAAGCTATATCTTTTGAAAGAAAAGATGTTGTTGCTACTCTTATTGATTCTGGAATCGATATGAATGCAAAAAGAACTGACGGTTGGGCAGCCATTCATATAAGTTGTTTAGCGAGTGATCCAGTGCCAATACTGAGAATATTATTGCAGAAGGGAGTTGATGTCAATTCAGTCTGTTTACTACCGTTCTGACGAAACCTATAGCGCCAATTCCTTCCTTTTTGATCACAACTTCGGAAAGAAGCCAGGGTCCCTCCTTTTTCACCGTAAACAGAGGCAGGGCTCTGTCACCTAGACGCACTTAGCGATGGTCTGACGAAGCTCCATAAAGCAGCTCGTGATGGAAGTATAACGGATGTGAAAAACTTGATTGGTTGTGGTGCTAATGTTCATGTCCTTAGCCACATGGGCACTACGGCTCTTCATGAAGCTGCTTACTATGGAAGAGATGAAGTAATTGCTGAGCTGCTGAATGCAGGGGCAAAAATCAACCAGCAGAAGGAGACAGTAAATGGCTGGGCTGCAATTCACATAGCATCACTCAGAGGGCATCGGAGTACAGTGACCCTTTTGCTGGAAAGAGGAGCTGACATTAATCTCGCAACCTTGGACAAGCAAACAGCCATCGATGTTGCTGAAAATAATGGACAAGAGGAAATAACTAGTTTTCTGAAGCAACGTGGTGGTCAGGCCTTTGATTGCATCGGATTGAAAAATATCAACAAGAAGGATTCAAAAGGGTGGACTCCCCTTCAATATGCAGTCCACGAGGGGAATCGCGAAAAAATCAAGACGCTTCTGAAGTGTGGCGCTACACAAGACATCTTGGAGCTCCTGCCTGCAGGACTTGATCCCAAAGTGGAAAAGAAAGATGTGGCTATTGCACTCAACGTGGCTGCCGCTAACGGTAATATGCCAGATGTTAAGGCACTCCTCGAGAAAGGGGCTGATGTAAACTTCAAATCTGCTGACGGTAAGACCCCTTTGGACCTTGCTCTGGATAATGGGCACTATGATGTTGCAGATGTCCTGATAGAATATGGTGGAATTCAGAGCTGATCATATAAATAAAATATATATTCTTTGCACATCATTTTGAGACACTTTGACTCTTTCATTGCGCGCCGAATTATGTAAATTATTATTTATTTTAATCTTACTTCATAATTACTGCCATGTCACTTGGCAATATTCAAATACATTATTTCCAAAACTATTTTGGAGGTCGGAAAACTTTGAAGGCTTTGAATGTTGCTTACTCTTTTTAATTTTTGAAAACGCCTATGAGAGTGGCTGCATTTAACCGGTCTTGCGCAACTTTCATTAAAAAAATTATGCATCCAAAATTTAATTTAAAAGAGAAATGTGTATAAACTTTGAATGAAACCTTGTTGAAAGTTGTGATGGAAAAGATTTCCAGAAGTGGAATTTTATGTATAATTAAGGGTAAGAATATTGCAAGTGATCTATCGATAAAACAAGAATATAAACTCGCGCAGAAACGCGAGAAGGAATTTTTTTTAATATATCAAAAAGTGACCTACTGATTTAAACAAAATGCAATTAACATGACAATTAAAACTTCACCATTTCTTGCATAACGTAATTATTTTCTGGCACAAAGTAAAAATAATGCATAAAATTATGGAGGTAATTCTAATGCATTAATTTCATAAGTGGTTTATTGCTGGCAATAATTGCTCTAGCTGGGTTTACTCTCTTCCCTATCGTTAACATGGAATCCATCAAGTACGACTGTCATGAGGCGGACCTGGTCACGTGACACGCTGACTCAAGCTGACCACGGCTTCTATGGCAACTGCGGTAGAGTGGAATGAAAAATGAAAAATTTTGTTAAAAACTGATCTCAGTATCTGACATTTCCCAGGAATATTTTCAGATGAAGATTTATTCAGGTTTCTCTGCTGATGCGAGAGGAGTAGTGAACAGCAAGGTGGCAGAAAAGAGCTCTCTTCGATTGAGGGGAAATTGGTCGTGTCATCCCAAGAGGACAAATTCCTCTTCGCAAAGCTTCGGAACGAAGCTATGGCCTCTTTCAGGTCAAGACTGCATCGATCGACGACATCATTCTGGCGCGGGACGATCTGGAGCGACACGGCCTGACGGAGCCCTTTTTTCAGATTAGGCTGGTGATCGTGAGCACTTTCATTTTTCAATCTTGCAGGAAAGAAAAAACCAAATTGGTACGTCAATTGTAACAGAATAGATACAGAAAAGTAACTGAAGCGAAATCGGAGGAACAGAAACAGAAACAAAAACGAAATACATAGGGGTTTTTCAGAAACGAAACGAAATCGATGTCGTTACGCAACACTAGGGCTCCAAATTAGAAGTAATGAGTTTCACTCACGTTCACCTGGAATGATTGACTTTTGCACCGGAAAACTTAAAATTCCATATTGCTTCCATTAGCTTATGTTATCATGCAAAGGTGATTGGATTCTTGGTAGAGGTATGGAGGAGGCGGAATTCGCGAGAACGGAATAGGGCCAATACGGAACTCTGTACTGCACCTGTCTGATTGTATACTCCCTCAGGTGCTATTCTGTCTCAGCAGACCAACAAGGGGTGTATGCTTTGCGGAAGCCTCGTGGAATGCTTTTCGCAGCTGCGGAGATTAGAATTCGAGCGAAGAGCTCGAAATTCTCTGGGATTGGTTTCACGCGCTGGATCCGGTCTTCGATTTCTGCCCAGCGGCCCAGTCCGCCTTGCGGAAATTCCAACGCGGCATTGGCACCGATTCTATGACCGGAACCTTGATGCGATTTGCACGATCACTGGGCGGTGCTGACTTCTTGGGAAATGTGGCAGGATGGTTCTCGAAGCCGTCAATGGAGTTCCTAGCCTGTCATTCGACGAGAAGCAAAGGTCTCGGTTTTGGTCAGTTGACCATCTCGTAGATCGGAATGTGTCCGGTTGTTTTGGGTCAAAGAGCAGGTGGACATCTTCGAGAGATGACCAATCTGTGAGCTGTTCGCCCGCTGCGTCGTTTGTGGCGCACCCCCAGTCTGCGTGGTGGCCGTCACCGGCAGTCACCGATGCACCAGTGTCGCCGCAACATTCCAAGTAAAAACGTTGAAGCAACGTTTATCAATGTTGGAGGTCAAGTTGCATCATGGATGAACATAGGCAACATCTCAAAAACGTTTCATCAACATGCTATGTAACTTGGGCACGTGCCACACCCATAGGAAACTAAACATTAAAGTTCAGGGTTAATTGTCACACCGAACCAGCCTCACACATACACTTCGTTCACCAGTTCACCCTGCCTAGATTTGAACAGTTCTTCAAGTCAATCGATTTATTAGATTTAAATTTATAAAGGGAAGAAAATTGTGATTTTTTACCCAATCTCCTTTTTCTAATGTTATGCTTATCTTGAGACAACTCCACTATGTCTGATGCACACGAGAAATTTCTTTATTTCTGCTTTCTGCTCGTTTGCTGCGATCGAATTTGCACCAGACGTCATTTCAGCCAACGGTCTTATCTACTCTAAATCAAGCATTTTTCTTGATCGAAATTTATTTCAGCCGCTTAGCTAAATTATTTAACGATCCCTGATGGAGTGCACAAAAAAAATCCTAACGGTGGATGTAAATCACAATGGATTTGGTACTGCAAAAGAATCCATCGAATCGACGCTGAATGTCGACACTTCCATCGTGAATAACGCAGCGTTGAATCAAATTTTGTGAATCAAGCCCCATGACTTCATCGGGGACCCTAGCCGAATCTAACATTGAATCATTATCCGGACATTGAATCAACATTTCATCAATGTTTAATCAATGTTATGGACTACTGGAGGAAGTTCATTTTTTTTACCTTTCCCACCTGGAGATATTGGAAATGAAATGTTCTTTCCTCTTGAAGAATTCTTTCCTCTTGCAGAAGAACAGAAGGAAAAACCTGGGAAGCTTAATCCCGTGGCGAGACTTTTAGCCTTAAAGGGTTCTATTACGTTTAATTTATTTGTTCAACGACCTTAATTTAATAATACATATCCTATACAAAAATACAGGACAATATGAATGAAATGTAATATAATACAGTGTTCGTATTTAAACACAACATAATAATAAAATTTTCCGCCTGTTCTTTGGATTTCAGCGCGTGCCTTATACCTCACAGGCTTGCCTATCTGAAAGGATGAAACTTATCCTTGGTTTGGTTCCTTGAACACATGCAGCCCGGTGTGCCTCATAGCGTTCCCCGAACTCCCACAGGCGGCAAAACGTTCCCTATGCTGCATTTAAATCCAAACACCCATATATATGCAAGGATAGAGAAGGTGCTGATAGAGGAAGCATTGGTCACGGTTGATGCAGGTTGCTGTGGGTTGAGTGGGTCCGCGGTCAGCCTCCAGATGGTTTCATCAGGTTAGGAGTAGCTAGGGGGAATGGGAAATTCTCATCAATATGCACGGTCAAACTTATTAGGTTTATATACTAAGGTTTAAACTTATTTTGGATTTTGTGGTTTTCTATTTAATTATCTTTGTTTTTATAGTTTAAGATTCCTCTTCTTTTTTCTATTGATTCTGGAAGGAATTGATTTATTTCCCCATCTGGCTCTTTTGCCTGATATGAACAGCTGGAATAAATCAATCAGGATGAGGCATTTTCTTCATTCACACACTCTTTCACACTGGCTCAAACCTGCAATATAATGTTAATGAATGGAAGAGTTGGAGAATAACTTAGTTTGGAGTGTGGGTCTTCCGGCCGCTTGTCGGCCAGGAAGATGTTGGTTGAGGTGTCACCTCAGAGTCGCCTGGACTACCGGTATGTTCCGGACTATCTGCAGTGCACCTTGTTAATTGGAAATGGCCTGGGTGGGTAAAAGGGATTTCATGGACTTTATGAACCGGGTCCTAGTCCTGCTAGAGGAAGGAAGGCCTAATGGTATGGGGTGACACAAGGGTAGTTACCCTCATTAAAGGGGGATTCGTTATATTGACGAATCTGAACGGGGAAAGTCTTGAAATCCAAATACTTCTATCTGAGATGGAAATTTAACATGCTCATTGCTCTAAAAAAAACTAGAGGTGCTACAAATGCAGATCTAGATGGCAAGCCACCGAGCTTTGAAGCGATTTCACTTGTCCCTTGAATCTCTCCATCTCTAGTTCACCTTGACGTGTGGACAGACACACACACACACACAGACACATACACTACAGGGTGGGCACAAATTCCCTTCAATGTGCAAAAAAATGACTTGGTTTTCCAGTTTTTGCTGATAACAGTTTATGGGGGTTTATGAAAGAACATGTCAAAACAACGTTATCAGACAGTTGACCAACGCAAAACAGCTGTCTCAGCATCTTTCGTCAAAATAACTGAACCACAAATGGGAAAATATGGCTAAGAGAACATGACGCCGCATTGAGTTATGCCGTGACGATGAAGGGCTGCACACTGATACTTTGGATCCCTAATTACATTTGATTAAGTAAATAAAAGAATTGTGTTTCGTGTTATTATGTTTATAATTATTATTTAAAATTGCCATCGAAGGACTTTGTCCCCACCGTGTCTAAGGATTGTTTTGAGGCTCCAGGTGACTGAGTGGTCACAAGTGGTCCCAAGTGGTGCATTTGCGGACCGGAATTTTGAAAAGATGCTCAGTCGTCGAAGGAGACCTCGCCTGCTCGAATCCCATTATGCGACCTGGCGGAGAGAGAAAGCCGAAGCTGCTCGCCTCCGGTGCCTCCAGCATTGACTAAACGTTCAACGTCGATGAACAAGATTAAGAAAGTTTTGACCCTTGCTGATTCCAAATGGCAAAGTCTTTTTCGGCAGCATTTGGAGTGAAGCTCATGCCCTCAGTCGATCAACATCAATTCAACGTTCAATAACAGCATGTTCCTTTGAGAGGATGTGTCCAAAGCAGAATTCGGCCAATTAACACGTTGCATCGGTTTGCAATTATATTTCACAGAACTTGAGGTCTGCACGAAGCCTGAAGTCATTCATGCTTCTCAGACTGGTTGAGAAAACAAGAGAAACCTAGTCAGCGCCACTCAGCTG